AGAGAGAGAGAGAGAGAGAGAGAGAGAGAGAGAGAGAGAGAGAGAGAGAGAGAGAGAGAGAGAGAGAGTTCTTCTTCTTCCTCTTCTAAGTCCACCATGTCTAGCTCACCCTCTTGCTACCTGACTTCTTAGTATCTGCAGATTACGGGAGAGAGAGCTTGGTGACTTTGGGACTTACGACATTTGGATCCAGACTCGACATTGGGATTCAGACATTTGACGAGGGATTATTTGGGACCTGTACCTAAGACTTGGTGTTGACGACATTCCCATCTTCCCCTGTTCTTCGTCTAACCCCCCTCTTCTTGGGACTGGACGCAGGCAGGCCACTTTGATATAGCGAAGGGCCTGCCTCCTCATTCGGCATTTGGGTGCTGGCTGCATGCTGCGCATGCGCGGCTGTGCTATTTGCTGACCGGCACTCACGCTCTCACGGGCGAGCAGGAAGGAGCGGGAAGCCATAGCCGAGCTGCTCCGCTATGAGCTGGGTGTGGCGCAGGGTGGTCCTTGGGTGCTAGTGGCATCTGCGTGTTGGGGAATGAGGTTGTAAGTGTGGCGAGAGACATACCTGGTGCTGAAAGTGTGTGCAATCAGACTCGGACTCATTCACACTTTTCATGCATGTAAACAACAACGCAGCAAACTGGCGACATGCGCCCACTCAACACTCCGAGATATGGCTTCCAGATAAGAGTTCACTTTCGACTTGCTATGGCGACTCAGCGCCCAAGCAACTCATTGTTCACATACACTAGATCACCTTGGATATCCCACACACGTCACTCTGAACACTCACACATACACACACACTCTTCCCACTAACTACAGCTATGGCAGGTATGGCTGCCTCTACCCTATCGCTATGCTAACTCCTCTCTCGACCACTGCGTCCTCCGGGCTCACTGCAGACCTCCTTGCACAAGTCGCTGTGGCAGCGCTTCCGCATGGCTCACGCAAGAATGAATGAATGGCTGGGCGCTGCCTCTTGATTTATACTTCTGCAGGTCGTTGGTCTGGCCCATTTCCCTTGCCCCAAGTGCACACAGTCCCGTGCGGTACTTGCTTGACTGACTGGGGACTGGGACTGTTGACTCAGCAGGGTGGACTTCCCTCACTTGCCTACTTGCCTCACCATTTGACCACTTGCCTCTTCTTAAACGTGGGCAACTCACGAAAGGCCACTACTGGGACCTTCCGGAAGGCCGTAGACTTGGCCTTTCGTGACTGTAGCAGCTACGACTCTGACC